TCTATCATCTATCTATCTATCAATCTATCATCTATCTATCAATCTATCATCTATCTACCTATCTATCTATCATCTATCAATCTATCATCTATCTATCTATCAATCAGCTATCTATCTATCTATCATCTATCTACCTATCAATCTATCATCTATCTATCTTTTCCCCCGATTTCCAGAACTGGAAGACTCTGACACTGGCCCTCCAAGGACAGTGCGCAGTGGCTGGTTACGGCTCTCCTGAACACACTGGGGGCCTGGAAAAGACTGTCCACAGAGAAATGGTGGGACAAGGCAAAGGGGAAATTTCAGTGTCAGCACAAAGGGAGGCCCCTGTTCCCTGCGCACCCCGTGAAGGGTGGGGTTGAGGCCGGGGTGGCGACAAGGACCACAGGGAGACAGGGAGAGGCGCGGGAGCACGGAGTCTCCCTTCTTGGCCTCGGGGGACGTGGACATTTGAAGGAGACGTGGGTGAGACCCACAGGGAGGGAGACAATGGGGCACCTGTTTAGAGCAGGCGCGTTTGGGGGCTCCCGGGCGCCCTCAGCTTGCCGACTGGTGGTCGCAACAGCCACGGCGGCAGTAGGTGTCGGCCAGTGTCGGCTGGGCGCAGCGGGCGGTGACGTGCCTGTCCCCCGGGGACGGAGCGGGTCGGACTCGGGGACGCGGCCCCTGCAGCGGGAGGCCTCTGCGAGGCCCGCGTGTAGGCCAGTGCGGCCTGGCCCGCCCAAGCTGGACTCAGGTTTGCTGCCCCAGAATCTGAGAAGGGGAAAGCAAGCAGGAAAACGGGACTCTACATTCCCCAAACTCTCCACATCTACTGTTTTGTATTAGCTTTAAACTCCACAGGATTTTAAAATAAATATTTCTGAAACATGTACTAAGCCAACTGGAGCATAAAATACAGCCTGTTGAACTGTATAAATTCCGAAAGCTCCGAGTAAAAAGTAATTTAAAACAAAAATTCCTTCTTTGAGGCAACTTCTGGGAGCTTATGCCTAGGAAAGTCAGACGACGAGCCGGCCTTTCAGACCAGGCGGCCGGCCCGGGGCCAGCGCTGACCTGCTGGAAGCGCAGCCTGCCCCTGGGGCGGCCGGCCGGGCCGCCGGGTGTCCGTGTCC